CGATTTGTGGATCGATTCTCCATAAATCTGCATCAAAATCTGGGAAAAAAATATTTTTAAGATTTTTTGTCAAATTTTCTGGGCCCTTCAAAATGTGCGAAATGCATGGGGAGCCCCATATGACCCACTGCGAAGGCCATATCTTAGGAAATATTGATCCGATTCTTGAACGGAATACCTTAAACGATTTGTGGATCGATTCTCCATAAATCTGCATCAAAATATGGGAACAAAATATTTTTAAGATTTTTTGTCAAATTTTCTGTGCTGTCCCCTTCAAAATGTGCAAAATGCATGGGGAGCCCCATATGACCCACTGCGAAGGCCATATCTTAGGAAATATTCATCCGATTCTTGAACGGAATACCTTAAACGATTTGTGGATCGATTCTTCATAAATCTGCATCAAAATATGGGAACAAAATATTTTTAAGATTTTTTGTCAAGTTTTCTGGGCTGTCCCCTTCAAAATGTGCAAAATGCATGGGGAGCCCCATATGACCCACTGCGAAGGCCATATCTTAGGAAATATTCATCCGATTCTTGAACGGAATACCTTAAACGATTTGTGGATCGATTCTTCATAAATCTGCATCAAAATATGGGAACAAAATATTTTTAAGATTTTTTGTCAAATTTTCTGGGCTGTCCCCTTCAAAATACCCTTCAATGTACCCTGAAAAAATTTTGCCCACTTTATTTTAAACCAAAAATAAAATATTTATATTATAGATGAAACTTTTGACCCCTAGGATCTTAATCTTAAGGATATCCTCCCCTTATATTAAGCCAAAAATAAAATAACTATCTTATAGACTTTCTCAAATAGCATATTCCATAGTATGTTGCTCATTGTACAAATATGGTAAAGCTTTAGCCAGTATCGATATTCGATTACTGATCGCGTCTGGGCCTGAATGTCAGTAGTTGTAGTCACGGCCCGGATTGGCCTTTAGCCAGGCTGTGTAGCCAATGGCCAAGATCTGTCGCTGGTTTGGCTGTCGTCGGCCGGACGACCTGTAGCTGCTCCCGTTGTAAATGTTGTCGCCATCGTCACAGACGACAACACACATTTTTGCTGATTTTGCTGCGATTCGGTTTGGATCATTGCACCAGTGGGGAATTTAGTGCAGTCGTCGTTGTCGTCTGGACGCCCCTGGATGGCCCTGGATTCTGCCCTGTCCTGTCCTGTCCATGTCCCCTAGGTGCTACTCCCCCGACCAATGTCTGATTTACGAGCAGAACTGGCAATGCCAATAGCAGTTTGCAGCAGCCAGGCCATGGCCATGATCATCGTTGGCCAGGTCAGTTCCATTATTTTTCTGGCCAATTCGCCATTGTTACAAATGCTAATTTTGATATTTTGTATTTAAATGCATGGTAGACAGGCGGTGATCCCAAGACACCAACAACAGCAACATCAGCAACAGTAACTGCAACTGCAACTGCAACTGCAGCTGCAACTGCTGCCAGAAGCAAGTAGAGAACTTTATGGTGCAGTGTGGCGTTTATCCTTTAAAATCTAAGCTCTAGGTGGAAGTATGCCAGGTACTGGGGGAAGGGTATTCTTAATGGATAGATTAGCTATTAGATGATATCTAAAATATTTAAGCTGATGGCAGTTTATAGCTAAATATTGAAAAAATATTCCAAAGCTCTTGAATATACATTTTTCAAACTTTAGTTCTAATATCTCTAAAGAGTATTCACACGTCTAAGTACTTCAACTTTCAACTAACATTTCTGTATATTTTTTTCTAGTTCATGCAGCAAATGTGGCATTGAATTTCATATTGCTCTCGCCCCGGCGATAGCCCCAGCGCTCTTTGCTCCGATCACCGCCAAATCGCATTCACAATCGCTCCCATCCCCATCCCCAACCCCATCTCCATCGCCAGCCTCCTCCGCTTGGTCCTTCTTGTCCTCCTCCGGTACTGTGGTCCTTGGCTGCTGGTCCGCTGCTCTTGTGGTCGATGGCTGTGTAATGGATGTTATGTTCTTGGCGGCGATCGCATGACAGGCGCATGTTGCAGCCGCTGGCATCCGCACCATTATGGCCAAGAGTCGCAAGTTGCGAGTTGCAAGTTGCCAGTCGCAAGTTGCTGGCGAGTTGCAACCCACCGTGCCCCAATGCATGGCGCATTCCCCAAAAGCGTGTAATCAATAAACAACAAGAGCCATCGCCATCGGAACCTCTCTCTCTCTCTGTTGCACCATCATTCTGTCTCACTTGGGCCCCGGTATCTTTTGGGGATGGGTTAAGGATGGGATGGCCTGGACTTGTGGCATCTCCCATCTCCCCGTGTAACCTATGGGAATGCCGTGGCGATTGCGCTCGATTGTATCTGTTTCGCGTCTTTCTCCTTCATTTTTTTTTTATTTTTATTTTTTTGTTTTAGTTTATTTTTTTTTTTTAGGTCTTGGGATAATGATCCATTGTTTGCATCTTGAACTTGTTTTAAATGCGCCCAGACCACTCCACTCCATCTTGTTGGCTGGCTGCCTCATCATCGTCAACATCATCGCCCATATCAGGAGGCAGGAATAGTTATTCCAAGGCATTTCCCAGACATTCTTTTAATTAAAAGTTATTTCTAATCTTATAATAAATATTTTAAAATATATTGCTATTAACTCTTTTCAATTAGCTTGTCTCGAGAACATGAAAAGGCTTCAAAGACCCCTCCAGGTCTATCAGGAATATGTCGCAACCTAACTCACATTCCTGGCGAATTTGCATACGAATTTCAAGTTTCTGGGATTTCGACTTCACCTTCTGTGAAATGATCCTTCAGGGAATACCGAAATGTGTTAAGATATGCAAGGAGATGTCATCACGACCAGGACTGAAACGATTTTGCATCTCGGGGCCAATAATTTCAACATTTGACACAAACTAAATAAATCACTCACAAGGACAACCCCCCGGATCCTGATCCTGATACCCAAATGCTGGAGGATCGTGCAATACTTGTTGGCTGTCAGGATGGGCAACGTTTTTTTTTTTTTTTTCTTATTTTGGCCAGGCCCACAAAATCCAGAGTCCCGGCCTAAATGACCCATTGTCTCGGTGGCTCCTAAACAATTGTTTTTGGGCCTGACTGACGTCGGTTCGGATTCGATTCTGGGATGCTGTCGTTGTTCTGGTTTTTTGGTTTTGGAAAGAAACAATCGATCGTTCGATCTGAAGGCGATCCTGTCGCTGCGACAAATATCACGCATGAATATTTAAAAGTTTCCCTTTTCCGCATAAAACACAAAGGTTCCTTTAAATTTATGGCCATTGGAGGACATCGATTTGGTTTTGGGTTGAAATCAGAAACGAAAAACGTCTTCTAGCAAATCACTTATGAAGGGTCTTCAGGGAATCGAATACTATATACTACATATATACTGGGCAAGGCTGGTTAGCACGTTCGCAGTGATTTATTGTCGAATGGAGGAGGCCCATGGATGGATGATAAGACGACAGAGAGTCGCTTAGGCGATCGCAATCTATATAGTAAATCTCTGTGGCCTATCGCCGGCAAAGTCATTAAACGATTATCTTGCAATCGCTCAAATTGTTTTATTATCAAAAGCTAGCTGAACCGATGAATTTTGGGGGCATTTAGCGATAGGGATAAGCCGACATAGTAGATGGTGTGTCATGCCAAACTCTTCCTCCTGATAGGAACGGAGCCGACGACGATGATTATGATGATATTGATACTGATGATTGCATTGGTGGGGATTTACGACTCAGACATGAGTCTTTTGTTGTAAATCAGTCATTAGCTATCAATTCCTTTGATTGATTTACGCATTGTTTTTGATCGTTATTGATCATATTTTTCTTCCCTTCCCTCTTTTTATTTTCGCCCAGATTAGATTAGTTATTATTTATAGAACATTTATAGGGAGACCGAACGATGACGAGAGCTTTCTGTTGGATCAGGCTGGAAATCATTAAGATTTAATACTGATTCTGGTGATTATATAGAATCCAAATCAATCTCTATTTGGTATCTAATTGAAACCCCATTCATTCACTTCAATTGAATGTCCAATTCTTTTCCATTCAGTGATCTGGGGCTGGGTATCTGGTGGCAACTTAATCTGCATCAGAGCTAACCCCAGACCATGCCCCGCTCCACATGACCGGAGTCGTCGCGAACCATAATTTAAATTTTCATGAGCATGCGCTGTCAATTGAGCGCAGCCAGAAGCAGCAACATCGCAGCAACATTGCAACATTGCAGCAACATCACAGCAACAGCCACAGCCACAGCAGCAACAACTCTCTAACCACGACGATAAAAAAAAAATAAAGATCAAGCTGGAGGGAAATTTAAATACAAACAACTGAAGGCAGACGAGCCGGTTGAGGTACGATGGCGCTAAATCAAACGATGAACACGAAATTGCCATAATGACGACACCACCAGGGCCCTGCGATCTCCGATCATTTTGGCCAAGTCAAATTATATTGGTAAATTGGTAGCGCATGCGCCGCAGCAACACTTGTTGAGATCTCGGGAGCTACTTGCGAAAATTGCCATTGGAGATTATTGCACATGTTTGCCGTGATTCGCGCGGCACAGAAGCCCAAAACCGTTCATCAAAAGTGCAAATTTGTGGCAGCTACTTGGCCAGGTTTTTTTGGCCTGGCTCTTAACTGCCACGAAAATATGGCCACAATGTCTCCACATACTCCACGTTGATGGGTGAACAAAAGTCGCCAGAGTCACGATTTTATGGAGAGGAGTCCTAGGAAAGGGCGGCTGAAGTTTTGAAATTCATATGAAGGAGAATGTGAGTCATTGTTTGATTTCTTCGGAAAATATAAGATATGCCGACGGCATTTTGAAGATGTATGTAGATGCCTTATAATATCATCAACTTTTAGCTTAAAAACTAGACTTTAAAGTTTAATTTGTCAAAAGGTCTTGACATCGTCAAGACTGCCAAGACATTCAAGTCTGGATTTCCTTTCCCTGCTCTCCCATTCAGAACTGAAAATGGATTTTGAAACTCAACTGCTGGGCAAAAATTTTGTTAAAATTGTTGTGATATCTATAGTGTGTCTCTTTGGTCTTGGCCATTCCACTAAAGAGACCACCATACCAAGTACTTCCCCGGGATTAGTGGTCAACAGCAATGTAACGGAGAACACGTTCCACAAAATCGAGGGCATTATTCTGGCCCCGAACAGGCGTTTCAGCCTGGACAAGACCTGGATGTCGGATGTAACCCTCTCGATAAACAATGGCGAGTTCAAGGGATTCGTTAGGCTGGATGGACACTTTGTGATAAGCGGCGTGCCCAATGGAAGTCACATTCTGGTGGTCCACCACCCGGACATTTACTTCAGCCAGGTGAGGATTGAGATCACCGGAAAGGGCAAGATCCGCGCTAGAAGGGTCAGCTATATCGAGCCATCCATGATCCACCATCTGCCCTATCCACTGCGCCTTCATGCCCTGTACCGCCGACAATTCTTCTGGAGCCGTCAGCAGTGGCAGTTCCTTGATCTCATCCTTAGTCCAATGGTTCTCATCATGGTAGTGCCAGTCATACTCATGATGATCATTCCAAGGATCATCAACGACCCGGAGACCAAGAAAGAGCTGGAAAACATTCCACTCCCGAAAATAGACGACATGCCGGACTTTGGGGACATGTTGTCCTCATTCCTCTCGGGAAAGCCCCCGGCGAAGAAAGAAGTCGAAGAGGCGAAGAAATCTACCGAGAAGCCCAAGAAGAAAGCCCATTAAGTCAAGAATCTAATTGTTATTTCAATAAAAACTTTCTTGTTTTATTTTCTTTGATCACAATGTTTTTCTTTTCCAATTTTCATAACTCTTTGCCTAGGCATGTGGCAGCCCTGACAAGGGCTGGTATTACGTGGATAGGGGTTCGTCTTGCCTCATTCCACCACCACCAGTCAGCCGGCAAGCCAAGGTCTTTCAAGGATTCTCCTGAGCGGTCTGCATCCTTTAAAGAAAAGAAAGATACATTTTGGTAAGAAAATGATGTTTACTTCTTGGTTTTAAAATATTAAATAACTACCATAATTTATGACTTCTAAGGCTAATTAATTTTTATGATAGTTACCTTGAAAAAGATGGCCTTGGTGCTTGCTGAGTGGCCGGGTGAATAAGACGCGGCAGGAATCGTTTTGGGCCAAAATAACAAACATCCCTGCTGCTCATTGTATCCATATTCGTCCTTTCTGCAGTGCCGATGTCCTCGGCGGTATTATCCGTCCCCTGTGTGCCTCGGAGGACGTCAGTGTCTTTGTCGTCATGCCCGCCATCGGCATTTTTGACTTGAATCTCGGTGTACGAGGCCCGACCCACCAGACCCGGGTCTTCGGGAGAGCCGGAGGCGGTGGCGGAGGCGAGGCGTGGCGCTGGCAAACCAAAAAATGTTGAAAATGTTGCGTTTTGCTCGAAACAACGAAAACAAGGCAAACGATTCTGTTTCGCTTTTCGTCTCGGGATTCGCGGACTTAGGCGGTCTTCTCCTTCTTGACGCAGAATTGTCGCAGGGCCGCCAGCGAGTTGCCGCCAGAGCTGAGATTCTCCGGCGACTCGGCACCACCACCTCCTCCGGCGGCGGCCGCTGCTGCCAGCTTGGCCCTGGTATTGGCGGCACCGGCACCACTGCTGCTGCCCAGCGAGTCGAACATGGAGGACAGAGCGTTGAGGGAATCACTCGGATACTTCTTGTTGCCCTCGGAGCTGCCGTCGTAGGACTTGTGACTGGAGGCGGGCGACTTGGGGGTGACGGATCTTTGGCTATCGGCGGGACTGCGGGGCGGTAGCAGCCGGGTTTGAGGACTGGCCGCTGCGGAGGGCGCCTTGGGGGAGCCTCTCTCCACGTTGTTGTTGTTGTTGTTGTTGGTGGCAGTGCCGTTGACCAGAGTGGTCTCCATTTTGGAGGACTCCTCGGCGTCGGTACCCTCATCCCCCATCTCAGACTTGATCTCCATTTTGATGGGCTCCGCCGACTCCCTGCCCAGATCCTTCTCCTGCTTGATCATCGGCTTGGCGGCTTCCTCGTCATGCCCGCCCGGCGTGGGGTGTTGCTTCTCGGGAGTGGGGGCGTCCAGCCTGGGCTTAGCCTCGGCGCTGCACTCGCTGCCGCTCCTCTCGCTGCTGGTGTACCGGTAGTGCTGGTAGTAGGGATCGTTGGTGTCGATCAGGGGCTTGTTGTAGTCCACCGTCTCGTCGATGCCCAGCCGCTTGAGGATGCTGGAGGCCACTGGCGAGGTGTTCTTGGTCGAGGAGTTGGAGGGACTACTGGCTGGCAGGCTGGCGTGGCGCGGTGGCGTATCGAAGCTGGTGGTGAACATCTGCTCGATGGCACTCAAGACCGAGGAGGAGCCGGGCGCCTTGGCGCCACCGTTCTTCTGCTCCACCAGTTCGGGGGACTTGTTCTTGGCCAGCAGCTGGGCAGCTGCCACCTTGGCCATCTCCTCCGGGGACTTCACCCCGGTGATGTACTGCCGCATGCGCTCCGCGAACAGGGCGGCGTCGTTCTTATCGCCTCCGCCAGGTCCCAGGCCCGGCTTGCCTTGCGCCACGGACTTCTCGGCGGCGATGTCGTCCTGGTTACCGGCTCCACCCTTCATCTCGAGCAGCTTCCTCACCGGCAGCGACTTCTCGCGCTTCTTGGGAGCCGGTCGTTTGCGCGCTCCAGCCGACTGCAGCAAGGGCTCCGCATAGTGATTATTCTTGGCCATGTGGTTGCTCAGATCCCCCAGAGAACTGAAGGCCTTGTCGCAGACCTTGCAGGTGAGGACGGCGCTCAGGGTGCGGCTCTCCTCGGAACTGAGGCTGCTCTGGCTCTCCTTGGCGTCCGAGTTGGAGTTGGCGTTGGCCGACTTGATGGAGATGCTCTGCTCCTGGGAGAGGATGTTGGTGTAGTGCTGCGTCTCCTGCATGTGCTTCGTCATTTCGCCCAGGGAGCGGAAGCTCTCGCCGCACCGCATGCACTTGAGGATCTGCATGGCCTGCTCCACGCCCTTGCCCAGCCAGACGTTCTGGCCGCGAACCAGCTTCCGGGGCAGGGGCGTCGGCGGATCTCCGCGGTACTGGAAGGCGTTCTTCACGTTCGCCGATGGCGAGTGATTGGATCCCGATCCCGAGCCGGATCCCTGCTTGCGCAGGTTGTGGCTCTGGGGCGGTGGTGGCGGTGCCGGGTGGTGGTGCTGGGACTGGTGCTGGGGATTGTTGCTCGGCAGGTTGCCAAATGGCGGCACGTTGACGCCGCAGTGCTTGCTGTCCTTCATGTGGGTGGTGAGGGCCTCCAGGGTGGGAAAGCTCTGCTTGCACCACACGCACCTGAACACCGAGCTGGCCACGCCCTTGTTCTGCCAGTGGGACTGCCAGATGTTGTGCCGGGCCTTGGTCACACCACCGCCACTTCCGGAGCTGGGTCCTCCGCCGGACTCGGAGTTCTGGTTGGATGCCGCCGACTGGACAGGACTCTTGGGCGGCGGAATCGCCGACTGCGGTGGCGTGGCCTTCGAGGAGTGCATCTTCTCCTTGCCACCCATGCCCCCCGCTCCGCCCTTCACAATGTCGGACATCTTCTCCAGAGGATCGACCACCAGGTCGCTCTTGCCGTTCCAGTCCGGGAACTGGCCCGCTCGGAAAATATTGGCCGCCGCCACGGCAGCCAGGTAGGGGTTCACTCCCGGCAGAAGTTGGTTGGCGGTGGGCGGGGCCACGGGATTGGCGGGCGGGCTCTCTGACTTGAACATCTTCTTCACCTGGATGTGGCCCAGCTGTGGCTCCGATTCGTGGCCACGCTTCCGGGTGCCCACGGAGAGATCAAGGGGGTTGTTGGCGCCATCGTCGAAGTCCTCCTCCTCGCCCTCCGAAGCCGGTGGCTCGGCGGACTCCGCCCGACTGTACAGATTGGTGCGGAAGTCCAGGGCCTCGGAATTGTTGCTGGACGCCGTGGGCGAGGCCTGGGGTGGCAGTTTGAATGGCGGCGCCGCCTCGTTGGCCAGCGGCAGGGGCAGGCGTGGTCCCGCTCCAGCTGCCGCCGCGGCTGCTAGCGGGAATCCGTACTGCTGGGCAGCCGCTGCCACCATGTGCAGGTAGGCCTCCATGGAGGGGGGCTGAGCGGGCAGGGACTGCGGCACCGCCGGGAATGTCGAGTGCAGAGTGGTGGGCACGCCGGGCATCACTCCGGCGGCGGCGGCATCCCCTCGCTGGCCACCGTTGCCGCCATTATCCGATGAGTTGGAGTCATGGGAGGGGCAGCGTTCGCTGGAATTGGCCGACTCCGTGGAGCGGGGACGAGCTGTGGGCAGGGCGCTGCAAGGAAAGAAGACAGGGTTTTGATTAATACAAGTTCTAAGTCTTAATCTTAATAATAATGCCTCTCATTAGGGTCTAATCAGCAATCCATCAATCCCAAATGGGTCTATAAACCATAAAGATCAGCCAGATAGAGCTTTCTCCGGACTTTCACAAGCTAGGTGGACTTACTAGGTAGACTAAGATAAGCAATCAAGAGCATTGGAAATCTTTATAGCCCGGAATATAAAATATATTTCGATTCGCCGGGGAGGAGAGGGGAGGGGAGAGGAGCTCACAATACCCACAATGCCAACAATGGCAAACATATGTCAACATTTCGATTTGTTATTCAAATCTCAGAGCGCCATAAAAAAATGAAACTGTGTGGCAGCTGTGTTTTAGTTGCCACCACCCCCTCCTCACCCCGCCAAAGCCAACGAATGGGTCATAAAAGTCTATTTGGAACAATGGCGTTTAATTCGAGATTCGAGGCGTGAGTTATGAGCAAAGTCGATCATAATCCAAGATGCGAGATCGAAGGCAATTATCATCTTCGAAGCACATTCCACACAGTTTGCATAAATTAATTAAATGATATATTTTTTCTTCGAGTGTATAACATTTATCCATAGCCAGTCTATATATCCATATATAATTTTTATAGCACCGATTGTTTGCTTTTGAAAATATTTCACAGACCCATAATTCTGCGGCTTTCGTTTAGCTTATTTTGAATGATTGTCTGATTGACTTTGAAGTGTATACTATATACTATATATGTATATGCAGAATGATATAAATTTTGTTTCATGATTAGCTATCCATATAGACATATATATAATATTTCGAGGTTTGTGTGGGCGCCAGTTTGCTTTAACGACTCTCGCCTTTGCGGAAATATCTCAACTTGATCAATAACAAAGAGTTAATGTTGATATTCACATTCAAAGTCGGCATTTGTCATGGGTGCGAATATATCAGACTTTGGACTTCTTAAAGGGCATTAAGTTGTTGGATAATTGATGGATAGTATACAATAGAACTACATAGCCTAACAGCAATATTGATGGGACCTTAAGGAATGTCAAAATAAAATCTGATTCATGTGAACAGGTGACAGGTGAGCATATCACACACTACGCTCCGATCGCTCACCGCTAATTAGCCATCCAGATTGCAAGGTGAGATTAGGCCCGCATTGGAATTCTTTGGAAATACCTGTACTACCTGAGTATCTGAGTAACTAGCATATCATAATCTAAAATCTCGTTATTCGATTAAGCTTAAATCACTATGATTTATACGCAGGTACTGAGAGACTTAATTACAAGTTGAAGTGTCTCATTAATAATCTCGAGAGTATCTACAGAACTTTAATCTTTGAATTACAAATTTAAAAAAAAGTATCTTTTACATTACAAGTATCTGTATCTGTAACTTTTGGTTGTATTTAATAAACAAAAAACTACCGTAAAGTCATGACTAATCCGTAAAGGTAACAAACACACACACACACGCACAAATCAGCGGCAAATTGTGAACATAAATCTTCCCGTAATAGGCACACACACACACAGAGAGAGGTAGATAGAGAGAGCGAGAGAAGTGCCAGATATTAGAGGTGGGGTGTGTGGGGTGGGGTGTTTCATTTTTCGCATGATTTATTCAAAATTGGCTACGTCATCACCTTGGATTTTAGAAAAAATCTTGAATCCTAAATCGAGACTAATTGTTGCACATTATAAGTAGAACTTTAAACAAGTTCGAGATACATTTTCAGAACGGGTTTTCTTTAATCATAATTTCATAGATACTCGAACTAATAGCCCAAAAGATAGATCATAATTGTTTTAGTTTCTTAAATAAATCGAAACTTCCAATCATTTTTTTTTTGGAAAACTGTTGCTTTCATTTCCAAAAGGGGTGGTGGGTGGATGGGTGTGATATATGGGCCGGTGATATTGGCGTGGGGCTGAATTTATAACGACAGGTGTGCGACAATCATCAACGCCAAACCATTCTCGGGCTATGAAATCATAATTTCTTGATATATTTATTTTAGCTGATTTGGGGGCCCCGCCGAGTCTAAAGTAATATTTTAATGGGCCATTCAACAATTTCGGCTATCAACTGGGGCGGTGTTCTGATTAAAATCGGTCTATATAGTAGTTTCTATTTGCGGGTTGGATGATGAATGGGCATGGAGTGTGCTTTCAAGAATATTCTTTATAAGAATATGGATCCAACTTACCCGGCATTTAACGCCTGTCTGTAGATCTCGAGCATCAAAGCCTCGTGCAACATTTTGAAATTTTGTTGAATTTTGACGGGAACTGAGTTCTATTTTTTTGAAATATTTTTTAAAGCAAACTCTTGATAGTTTACTCAATTTAAACTTAATTGTAATTTGACACAATATTCATAAATTTTGGTTGTTTTTTAATATTTTGCACTTGGTACGTTTTGCGTATAACTTTTGTTTTGATTTTAATTTTAATATATATCTCGTATATTCTCGTATGGCAGACAAAAATTGAATATAATTTTGTAATTTTGTAATTTGTGTATCTTGTGTGGTGTTTTTTTTTTTGGGTTTAAATTTAATTTAATAATTGCATTGAATCGTATACTTCGTTTAGATTTCGTTGATTTAAGTAACTGCTTTTTACATATTTTTTGTTTTATTTTTTAATGTAAGTGTAGTTTTGGTGAGCAAAATACCGTTAAATGTAAATATTTGTAGGATTTTTTAGATTTAGTTTTTTTGTATTAAGTTTATTTTTTTTTTGTAATAAATATATTTTTAGGATATTACTAATTTGTGGTTGTTTTACGTATACTTTGTTGAACCATTTGTGTTTTTAATTTTTATTTATTTTTTTGTCGATTATTCAGTCTTGATCTAACATTTCGCGATGCAGTGTTTTTTTTGTTTTTATTTTTTGACTAGATATGATGGCGGCTGCTTTATCGGAATACTTGCATTTATTTTAGTAAAATTTTTTGTAGTATCACACTTGCATTCAAATATTCCATTTATTATCAATTTGTTTGAATTCTTTTGTCATTGTGTGTGTTTTTTTTTTTTTTGGCGGAACACGCGTCACAACGACTACGACTACGCTCTCTCACTTTACGCGGTATCAGTGTGGGTGTATCAGTGAGTGTTCACCGTGTTCCGTGTTCATCGGTGTTCACCGGATGAGAGTCGAAAAGAGAATGAATTCTGTCGTTGGTTGCCTTGTCGTCACTGGGCCCGTGTGTCGCTTCTTCTTCGCGGCCTCTTCCTCTGCCTCGGTCGCTGCTCTGCCGCTGCTGTCAAACTGACAGGCAAACAACAACACACACACACACATACACACAAGCACAAGACTCTGCTGCTCGTCGCTCTGCCGCTGATTGATACCAAAAAAATGAAGTGGAAGTTCAAAGCAGAGGCGATGCGACGCGACGCGATTGGAAGCTGCGCTGCTTTTTTGACGAGCAAACACGAAGCGCGCGTTTTGGCGACGGCAATTTCTGATTCGATTTTGCGTTTAAGCGACGGCTGCGCACTTTCGTTACGTGTGTGGGTGGTTTGGGGGGCGGGAGGTTGACTGGCACTCACAGACGGACGGCTGTCACAAAACGCCGTGATTAAGCTCGCGAACCCAGGCAGCGCTGCCTGGACTAATTAATTACCGCGACTGCGACGGCGACGGCGACTCAACGGTGGTTTTTCCTTGCGCCGCAGAGCTTTTCTCGCATGATCGTTCGTGTTAACGGTTTTCTTTTGACTGTGAAGAACCTGCGGCAGCGCGTCGAGTCAAGCACATGGCAAGCTCCCCCAAAGAGAGAGAGAGCGTCAGCCGAGGCATGCGCAGAATCCGCTCAATTTCCCCTTTCACGCCAATTGGAATTGTTTATGTGTGAACGTTTTGGGATTGGAACAGCAGCGACGGCAGCAGCAGCGCAGGGGAAACGAAAGACCAATGAGCGACGCTCTCCATGGCCGCAATGTGTGAAATCTGTTTAGTTGTTTTTCGTCACCCTTCCCCTGCTGACACCACCACCACTACCACTACCAGCACCACTTCTTGTTTCGTTCGGGGTATTCTGATTCAGATTCCGATTCCATCACTCCGGCGCAATTAAGATTTATGACAGTTCAAAACAAATTTTCTGGCTCGCATGCGCTGTCTCGCTCACTCCCCCCTCCCCCTTCCCTGTCTGTTTGTGTGTGTGAGTCGTTCTAATTTGTTGCTTGGCTTGTTGTTTTTGTTGCATTGGGGGTCTCTCTGTCGGTTATTTTTGCACTTCAGTCTTGTTTTTTTTGTTTGTTTGTTTTGTTGGAGCTTTTCGTCCTCGTCACTTTGATGCGCTTTTCTCGCTCGCTCCTTGCATGGCTCTTCCTCTTCTGCCATGACAACCCCCACTTTCTTTCTTCTGCTGTCAACTTTTGTTCGCTTCTCTGCAGCATCTTCGTGGATTTCGCCTCACTTGACATGTCAGTCTCTCCGTTTTCCCTTTTTTTTTCTTCTTTTGTCTCGTTGCAGCGGCGTGTCTGTGTGTGTGTGAGAGACAGGGGTGGTCGCCCAACAAGGGTGGGGGTTGATCCTGTGCGTGTGTCACTGCTTTCTTTTTCTTTTCGCTCGGAGAAACTTTTTCCAGTTTTTCTCCATTCTGGCTTCTGGCTGGGAAAACAATTAAATTAGCAGCACTTTTCTACACTTTTTTTATGGTCAAAGGAAAGTGTAAAATATTTTTAATTTATTAAGGTTTATTCTTAAAAAAATGTAGTTTTAAATAACATTTATGTCGTATTTTAAAATCGTAAGATAACATGGAAATTTTAATTTAAAAGCTATGCCGCCCGACTATCTCAAGTGTACCACGGGGCGTATGAGTAATGCTAATTTCGAAAAACACCTTAAAATATTTAATAAAGACACTTAAAATATTAACCCTGCTTGCAATTTAATATTTTTTTTATAAAAATCATTAAAAAACTCAATAAACTTCAAGTCTTGGCCACTTTCTTCAGAAAATTTAATTAGGCTTATACAGCGGGGAGTTAGTTGTCTCTGATTCCAGTTCAATTTCATGGCCGTATCTGCGGTTATGGTCCATTAGTGGTTCTGGTCGAAAAGCTTACATTATCTGGAGTTTAAGGCCGCCAATCGTTGACGAATGCCCGGCGGGGCCATAAAAGAGGCCATCACCTGACGACATTTGAGTGAGAAAATGGTGGACAGCTCCACCGATGGCTGTGCCTGTTGCCGCTGATTTTATTGATCAGAATGAACCGCATCCTCGCTGCACTTGTTGCTTCCAAAAACGGGCTCACTTAAGGCCGGGGAGCGAATCGTAAAAGTTTTTTACGATCCACCAATTAACCGATAATAATCAAAACGCCCGGGGGCGGGTACCGGGGGCAGGCAGACAAGTGTGGCGGCAATGAGGCGGGAGCAGCCATTTCTTGCGAGGCTCCATCATCGTCAGGCCCCTCATCGTCCTCATCAGAGAGAATCCTCTGGGTCTTTGGGCAATAAATACTTTTACGATTCTATAATTTGATTTGGGAATTCTTTTTTTTTTTTTTTTTATTTAATTTTTTTGTCGTATCTTAGGCTTCAACACATAATTTTTTTATGCGTCCGATCGTAAAAATTCGTTTGATAAATTGTTATTTGGAATTCGATGCTAAAGGTATCCGCTGGATACGCGAGCATCTACGAGCATCATCTGGCGCGGAATATCTCAAAAGAATTCTGCATATTTTATAATCCCACAAATCTAGTTTCGGAGCTTCGGTTTTGATTATTTTGGAATTCTTCTGATGGAATTGACGTAGAAAGGAATTTATTCTTTTTAAGATGTACAATTTTTCTTGCAATCAGTCGAAAAAGTCAACCCGAAAATATACAAATGGCAGACAATTAATTTAATGAGCGAACACAGACAATCAAAAGCTTAAAAACTCATCAAGCGTGTGCTAAAATTCATAAGGAAAAAAATTAAAAATTCAAAATTAAAGAACGACAAAATAATCCGAATTATAAAAGTGTTTGGTGAACGGCATTCGTCATTGTCTGAGTGTCAACGCTTCCGTTTCTTGCCATTTCAGCAGCGATGACAACAAAAGCAGATCCCCAAATGGAACCAACAGATCGGACCTGCATATATGTATGTATATACCATACGATATATATAATTTGCGCCCACGAGATCTGGGAATGAATTATTTGCAGCGGCGTTGTCAAATAGAACGATTCTGCTCAAGATTTTGATTGCGGCAGTTCCCCGGATTTATTTTTAATGGAAGATTTCATGGGGTCGAGGGATTAACTCTTTCAACCGACGCCATCCATTTTTGAAATATGATTGGGACGTAAATCTCGGCCAACAAAAGTCAGCTAAAGCTGAAATATTACCCTGATGAGCAGCGGAATATGCGAAATATATATAGTATAATAATCCATAAAATGATCCACGTGTGGGTTTGTTGCTTCTTGAAAGCATTTTAGATCGCCTAATAACTAAAATATCAAGTTGATTGCAAAACTCGTCCGCGTTAATTTGTTCGTGATCAATATTTATTCATTCGATAAATCAATCAAATAAATTACAATTAACAAAAAGTCATAAAAATGAATGGCACAAAGAGCCGGGCAACGAATAAATTCGATATGAATATGAGAAATCAAAAAACCGCCACCAAGCCGAAGACAAAAGGAGAAGACACATAAAAAGTTTAAGAAGTTGTTAATTATAAATGTGAAATTTATAGCGCCACTCTCGGCTAGAAAAATTCCACAAATTGATCATCGGATGGATCGGATCGGATCGGATCGGAGAGCTCTCACAACCATTCTCGATGACATCTAGAAATCGAAATCTGGTTTCGTTTTGGCCCCGAGTTCGTCTTGATCAAAGTGTTTTCGGTTTTTAATAGCCAAAAAACCAAACAATTTAGATCGTAAAACATTTATTCAAATTATGACGAAGACGATTGCAAAGATTTCGCCAAGTTTCGACTCGAGTTTCGGATCAGTGGCATTAAATTATGCAAAACAACGCACACCACACAAAAGATCATTAAAAGAAATATGTCTATTATGTATGTAGGAGTTTACTACGGCGAAATGGATTTCGATTTAAATGGACGGGGCATTAATTTTCTAAAGACCCTGGGAGAAAGATCATCAGTTTGGCACTAAAAAAAACGTTCCTAAATGGTCATCATTAAATAGAAATTTGTTCCAAGTCTCGGGTTTTATTGGACCTGAGGAACTTGCACGATGACAAATTTAAATAATTGAAAAGAAATAAATTTTAAATGAAATCGAGACGAAATAAACTTAAATTTAAGTGTCCAGTTCTTTATTTATTTATGCGGTTTATTTTTAATTTTATATAT